TTGCAGAGCAGCGGTAAGACCTGAGACCCATGGTAGACTGACCGGATTGTGTGCATTGTGTGTGACCGGAGAGGAAAGATGTGAACCGGTCGATGGCAGTGTTTTGGATACATAACTTCAAAGTCAAAGTCAAAGTCAACTTTATTTGTCAAGTCAACCGGGGTAGTACTTGGAATCTCATTATTTCTGTGCCTGAAAGTGGCTGAAAAGTGTTTTTTTTCCCCGCAGTCACCTGATACAATGTAAACCGATTTACTCTAATAACACTTAAAATATCTGAACTTTTTGCAGCATCACAACTGGAGAACAATCTGAGCCCTGAAAAAAGTCCGATTTCACTATCTCTAGAAAATCAGCACTGGTTTCGTCCTCTCTGTTAGTGTGAGCATCAGTGGGAGAGAAATGTTGCCTCCTCCCCCCAAAAATGAGAAAAAGACTGCTTATATGAGAACTAGGCTGTGTGTAGGCTACAGTCAGACTGTGTTGTCTTTGGGATAGGAAACAGTTTGGACTTGTTTGGGAGAAAGCATCATTGTGCTGAGCTGGTACACATTCAGCTCCGTGCTCTGCCGGCCCAGCAACTGATAGTGAATGGGCACACTGTGGCCACTGGGAAGTCTCTATTGTCCTGTGCAGAATTGGTTCCCACACTCCCTAACACTTCTATTGTGTCGTGTCACCCCTCTTGCCCCCTCTGGCCCTTGCCCCCGATCTACAGTTCAGTGGACATGCAAGGGGATATTATTCACTCATTAAATGAACATGCTATCTATGGCACACACACACACACACACACACACACACACACACACACACACATACAAGTGCTGTGCTGTACTGTCTTTTAACAAGGCACCGGCAAATTCCTTGTGAGCCCTCAGTTTCCAAAGTGTGGTCCAGGGACCAGCTGGCTCCTGCTCCGAGGAACCTTGCCAACATATCAGTTATTTCACATCCTTGAAGTGGGAATCATGGAAAAATGTTAGTATTTTTCCTGCGTTTTCCACGTCCTGCGTGGTTAGAATTCTGAATATATCTCTGAATTCGACCTTTTTATTCCAACAGCACGAGTGTCATTATGGCTGCCATTTTTCTGGCATGGGTGAAAATTCATAAATAAAAAATAATTTTTATTAATTAATCAATTTTGTATTATTTTTTTCTAAAGCAAACTCAAGTTTTTTTTATAGCAAACTAAAGCTTTATTATTATGTCTTTTTGAGTCACCCTTGCTTTGCTAACGCCCTAACAGCGGATTAGCTCTCATGACAAATTGGCAGTTAGAAATGTCCTATTGAATTTTCTTTTTTGTATCTGGCTTTCAATTGTCTGTCATCCTTCTGTTGTTGACGTGACCTCAGTGCGAAGGATGATTTATTAAGCACCGTCTTGGTTGACAGCGCTTTGCGCAGCGTTATTGGTAATAAGAAGCCGTTGACCATGCACGGTGACAGGAAAGGGATGGAGAAGGAGCACCTCACCGCTGATTCATGAGAGCGGTGCCGGGCGAAGCCCCGTTCATCCTTCATACGCTGCCTCCTTTGTGTTCTCTGCTACACATTACAATGGTGACATATTGTACCGTGAGGCACTAATTTTATTTTAATATCATACATGGCATACATTTTGTATTTTCCAACCTCCATTACAGTGAAAACGGTGCACTGTAGAAGTGTTGCTGCCTTTATTGGTCAATTTATTGGCTTGACTTACAATATTGGACTGATACCAATAAGCACATTAGCGATAATTCATTGAACTGGTTATAAACGTGCAACCCTACAAATTAGCATAGGCCGTTTTTTCTAGCCATGAGCGGAAGTCTGATGCTCTGGATTTTTTTCTTAGGGTCATGCATACTGTATGCAGCAAACATCAGGTCACTGTCAATTTATGGAACCCTAGGACGAATCAGTGGCTGGAGACCCTTTGCCTCATGTCTCCATGAAGGACAGAGTGACTGTGTTCTCAGAAGCACAGCGTGAAAAGGGAAACTTGTGCATGCAGCAGATAATTCCCTGGGCTTATTCATCTTTCTTTTTTTTCTTTTCTTTTTTTTTTTTTGCTGTATGTGAGAAATTGGCCCCAGTTGCTGGAACACTGTCATGTGTCACATTGACTCTAATAGGCTTGTTAAAGTTGAATTAAGGACGTCTTGCTTTGATTGTGTTGGAGCTCACTCCGCTTTGAAGTGGTACATTTACTGCCGTTGCTTTTTCCCGCCCCTCCACTGAGGAGTCGGCCATGCTTATCATGGCTGTTACACAAGCGCAAACGCATGCATTGACACCAACCGCCGATCTGCGTATTAGACACATCCCACACTCGAGGACTGTGCAGTGATGTGTTACATCCCATCCTAGTCATCTCCTCCTACTTTGCTTCCTCCTATCTCTCTGTTTCCCCCCCTCTTCCCCCACTC